ATTAAAAAAAAAGGAAAGTATTTATACAGGCACATTACCTCACCTGAGATGGTGTCATTGTGCTGTACACTTTACATACAGTAAAAATTGCTTCTCTGTTCCTCCTACAAACTTAGCATCTAAATGATCAAGACACATAAAGCTTTGGAAGTGAAAGAGAGATCCAAGGTCACCTCTGCAGGAAAGCAACAGCACACATCTCCCATTCTGCAGGCAGGTGACATTCTGTCCTGTCTCTCTTATAACAGCTTTGATAAGATGACATTTCACAAAACTGAGAAACAGACACTGCCCATTTCCATACTTGCAGGAAGGGTGTCTTCAAGTGAGGAAGCTTGATTACAAAGTCTGCTGAGTATGCAAGGGAAAGAATGAAATATTGCACTTGCCACAGTCCTGATTTTTGTTCTTCTCTCCCATTATCTAAAGGAAATATGGTATGATCTTTGTTCCAGTCATTACAAACAGTTTCCAAACTAGTACAGGCAAAGATATGTGGGATGGGGCCAGGACTATTTTTTTTGTGTGTATGTGTGTGCACATGCCTGTGAAATATGTTATTTCTAGAAATCAGCACATGCATGAAGTTAAACCTATTAGCAACTGTTTTCATATTGCAGGTTTGGGGTTATTTATCACTTGCCACAGAAAAATCTTTCAACGCCTTGCAGAAACCATCCTCTAGAGTTCCTTTTTTCTCATAAGGCATCCTAGAACAGTTTTGCAGAGACATGTTACTCTCTCAACCCCACTTGTAGGGATGGATAAGGCTGAGGAAAGAGCTGCAACTTGGCAGCTTGGAGAGAAAGAGGAGCAAAGATCCTTCATGCCTCATGGTATAGAGATCACATCAATGCCAGGAGCTACACTTGACAATAAATGGAAGAATAACAGATCCCTGCATGTTGCCATGGAGCTCTTCTGTCTGGACTTCAGGCATGCTGTAAAATACTATCCTTCTCTTTGCCTGTGTTATAGGCCATCCTAGTTAGTCCTGACAGCATTACTGCGCTCAGCAATTGGTATTATCCCCATAAAACAACTAGGTTAGTGTCAGCAGAGCCATCTCTAGGCTTGCATGCCCTCACTCCTTGCTTACACTCTGGTTTTCGGACCACCAAAGCTCCGCTGCTTTCCCCATCTCAATGACCCCAAGCATTCCGGCTTACCACTAAGCTTACCACACAGACAAAAGCTCCTTTTTAAAAGAAAAAAAAAAGACAAAAAAAATTTTTATCCTTGAGAAAACCAAGATTTTTTTTTAATAATTTGTTGCTTGCCAATTATACCCTACCAGGCTTCCCTCTCCTGGTGTCTGTAACTTGACATTATGAAACTTCTTATTAAATCAAGTGCTTCTCGAACATTAGGTGGGGGAGTGGAGGAAGAACCAAACATTATCAAGGAAAGTTAACACCGATAAGGTATTGGCTGCTGGCTGTCCCATTATTGTGAGAATGCACATTCTCTCCCTTGAGTGTAGAGCACCTTCTGATGGAGTGCTTCTTATGTTGAAAAATGACAAGCATTAAGAACCCCATGCCACTTCATTGCTAAAATATTTACTAGAGCACGCTTGCTTCCTCCATCTGAAAGTGTGGTGTATTTATAGGAGTGTCCAGTAACGGAGCATCCTGCTCTGAGCAGTGTTTCTGAAGAATAAGGCCATACTCTGTGTGAAGGGTGGGACAGGGCTCATCCATTATCCCCTCTGTTAGCAGGTGTTAGAAGCATGCAGGGGACTGCAGGAGCTGCTGACTGGAGCAGATTCATTGTAGTATGTGAAGTGTGTGAAGTCCCTGCAGGGGATGGGAAAGGCTCACTGAGCTGAGGAATTTAGGGTCTGGGATCTCTGTGTGAAATTGCCAGGAAGGAACAACTTGAGCAAAAGGGGATGTTTAGTTTTTTTGGGTTTTTTTGGTTATCATTAAAATGACAAATCACAGGACTCCATCCTCACGTAAGTATTACAGGTCAGCTTCTCAACTAATGTGCAGTGGCAGGTTTGCAGTGTGCTCTCTGTAGCAGCTGGGAATCTGGGGCTGTTGGGTATGGGAAGATTCCTTCCCTGCTTTATGGCTGTGAGTGTTAGAAATAAGGTCCCTTAGCTCCTGGCCAGAAAGCAAGAACAATTGAAGATGGAGGTCACAGAAATGACAAAAGCAACTCTTGCTGTTGTCAGCACAAACACAGCAATTGATTGAAAAGTGTCTGCTAACCAGGCAGCAAAGAGAGCAATTAGAACTGAAATAGCAACAGGGTCTATTTCAGAGTTTTATGATTCCAGCTTGCACCACCCCATTAATTCTAAGTACCAGTGATTTTTTTGTTTGGTCTGGAGTCAGCTGGGGACCCAGAGCAATCTGGGACTGAAAGAAACTCAGGACTTTTCAGAGCTTCAGCTGTTAAGTGTGTCGTAAACACACCCTAAAACTGAAATGCAACCCTCTGATCTACCTTGAGGATTAACAAGGTTCACCATAGATTATGGCTTGGGACCACTTCAGCTTTGCTGTAGACCATGAGATCTGCTGGAGTCACTAGATCTCCTACATCAGAAGTACATGATGGAGTTATCCCAGCAGAAAGGGTGTATCAGGGCTCAAGCTGGATAATGTTTTAGGAAGGCGTGATTGACACTGGATGTAAGAGATACCCAGATGTGGGTACTTGGTACAGTTTGCTAATGTTGAAGGTCAGATGCTCAATCTATGACTGGGGTAAAGAAAGACTTTTAGACAGTCAAGGAGGCTTTCTTGTTGTCCTGATCTCCAAGGAATGTCATATTCGAGAAGCATAGCAGAAATGAGTAGACTTGGTGGTCTTGTAAAATCATAGTGCTTAGGGCACAAAGCAAGTAGGGTGAGCAGGTTGAGGGACAGGCTTCCTGCTAAGGGATCCATATAAGTGAACCATCTGTGAACAATGGGCAAAAGATGTTGTCAGATGACAGCAAAAATAACTTACCAACACAGTGTTTCTGAATGGAAGGCAATGATGTCTAGAAAAGAGAGCTCTGCAAGTAGACTTGTGTTTCATGTGTGTGCTAAGATTAGCTGTTTGAGGAGAAGCTAATAGACCTCAGAAATGGATAAATTCTGTGTGTGAGGCTCCATGGCTTGAAGCACCATTGATCACCCTGCACAGCACACAAATCTAGTCTGAGTCAGAACTTTCAACAAACTGTGCAGCAAAGAACACTCTGATCTCTGAATAAATATCAGCAGTACAGTAACAGCAGTGCAGTGCAATGTTGAACAGCCAGTTACTTGGAGGGCTGCTTTATCAAGTAAGAATGTATAAGAGAGTTTCTTGGTTTCTTGCATCATTACTAAGGCTGGGATGGTTGCTGCTTAGCCCTGGATGTATTCCAAGTTGAGTGAAAAATAATTTTTGAACCAACCACATTGAGGTTGTATTTGCAGAATTTGTGTCTACAATAGTGCTGAATGCAACATAAAGAAAGGTATGTGTGTCCATGGCATTGTGAATCTCAGTTGACTTTATGGGGAAACACAGACGCACACTACCTCATATAGTGGGAGGATGAACAGAACTACCTGTACATGTTCTTTTATAACCCACTCATCCCACCCAGAACTGATTACCTGTTAAAAGGTAAAACTATACACCATTTTTCCAGTTGCAAATGACTGCTGTATTTTAAGAAAGGAACTGAAATCTTCTACTGACTCAGTTGAATATGACATACTTTTGAAAGTCAGTCCAAGGGTGGCTGCCTTCCATAGTCAGGTGAAGGAACAACTGTGTTATTTAGTTTGCATGAAAATGGCAGACAGTAGACATGGATTTGAGTGCTGCTAACTCACACCAAGGAACCCTGCACCTTGCAGCATGAGGAGCCCTACTGCACTGTGAGGAACTGCTTGTGGATTAAGTCGTTGCTCACTGTGAGCAGACATGACTGTCTGTACCCCTCATATTGCTATATGTTTTGGTGCTGAATGCAAATCATTATCTCTATTTAGCTGTTGTTGTTGCAGCCATCTTTGCTTGCCAGCAATAGCTATTTCTAGCTAGTTAACAGGTTTGGAGGCCTCTCGAAGTGATATGAAGAACTGTTGCAAGTGAACTCTAGATATCTATTTGAAGCTAATCAACCCAACATAAGAATTAAATCTCTTATCCAGAAGTCATTACTGCAGAGGAATAGACTCGTGGCAGAGAAAAGATCACATAAAAATGTTCTTCAGTGATGCACAATTAGGTAGGCAACACCATCTTAGAATACCCAGTTCTTGAGTGGGTATTTGAGGAGCTTATAGTTCCTGGCTTATTCTACATCAGGAAAAAAAAAGGAGATCGGGTCATTTTATTCTTGAAAGCATTTTTCCCATCTCTTTGGCTGTCACATGTATTTAACTTTAGTACCCTCAAGGACAATGTGGTGGATCAGCATGCTAAGGTCTGCAGTCTACAGCCTGTAGTTTTTCATTTCACATTGCTTTAAGAATGGTCCTCTTTGTTTCCATTTTGAGCCACGGCTGAATTCTTACATGTTGTCTGATCTTCAGGCTCAAATACCCAAGAGAGTAGGCAGCTGTGAATCAACCCTCTGTGTGCTTTCTAGCAGGTAGTCTAGCAAAGAAGGCAGTATGCTTCTTCTTATTTCTTTAAATTGATAGGGATTTGAAGGAAAGTACTTTAATAAAAGTCTCATGAATGATTATTTTCTTCCTGCTGATGATTCTGAATTGCATGCAGAAATATAAGAACCTTTTAAGAGGGCCCTATGGATTTAAATCCAATTCTTTAGATTTATAATTAAAGCTCTTAGTCTTTATGCTATCCTACACCTTATGAGAAGGATCACCTTTCTAATTACACAGTACCAGGAGGTCTGTCACATGCTTTTACTTAGTATTAAAGTATGCAGTTGCTATATTTTTTCTTCTCCTTCTTCCATAGATTCTATATTATGTTTTGGAAATTCAACATAATGATTTTATTTTTTTTTATCAGGCCAGATGTTTCACTCCGCTATGTTAAGTCATCTTGACATACTGCCATGAAATGGAAACAACTGCTAGTTTTAACATTGCTCTATATCTTTATTAAAAGGTGCGTCTCACGAATCTTAATTCCCCACATACATGCTATCTTCCTCTCTCCCCCCTCTCTCCCATTACACTTCCTTCTTTCCCTCCCTAAAAAGGAGGAATATTAAAATTTTCTTGCTGTTCTGGCTGAGTGGTTAATGAGGTTCTAGATAGCCTAATGAATATGCAGTCCCATTGATTCTCTGTGTGCGTGTGTGTATGCATATGTGTCCGTCTCTGTGTGCATGTCTTAAATCACAGCTGGAATGCAAAATCAGGCTCCACCTTTCAACTCTATCTCCATCATGCTGAGAGAGTGAGAGAGAGTGAGGCTGAGACTGCTAGACAGCTCGAAAGAGATTGCAGCTCAGATGTCCTGGAAAACAGCAAATCCCTCAGACCTGGCAGATTCCGTTACCATGAGAACTGCAGATATTTCCATTGTGATGGCTTGCTCTAGCAGCCATCTGTTACACCCATTTGATTAGGAAGTACAGTTAGCTTGTATGGGATTTTCACTGCACCTTATCCCATGGCAGCGTACAGAAACTCTCTCTCTCTTTTTAAATGCTAAACTCAATGTTTTTAAAGTGCTGTAATTTACTGAGGCTGAAGGCATTTAATGAAATGCTAGGAGGAGGTCATTGAGGGTCAGTATCTCTGAGAAGAAAGAAGCACATGAGATATGTGAAGAGAATTAGCGTCTGGTACATAAATAAGATCAGCCCAGAAATTAGCTGTATTTAGCAATTCCTCATCCCTGCCAGGGAGAGGAGCTTGATATACAGACCTTGTGAAGCCATAATAAAATTAGTAATTACCTCCTGTTAGTTAATCCCACTCCATATATATTTACTGTATGCAAGCAATAAATGCATGTAGCAAATACATTTCAGGTCCTCTGTAAAAGAAGGGGGAAAGTGATGACTTTCCCCAGATACCTGAAGTGGTACAGTGACTGCACTGTGTAACAATTAGATTAGCTGTAAAAATTTAATGGTGCCATTTGACTTTTCCTAGACACAGACAACCTTAAACTTTCTTGAAGGTTTTTCTGTAATTTACTGATTAAAACAATTGTTTGGAATAGTTGAGTCCCTCGGTGTAAAGTAGTGGTGGAGGAAATGGTAATGGCTCATCACATGGGTATAGACGCAAAGGAGTCCCCTTCGATTAAAACTCTCCAGACATTCTTCCTAAGTGGCTGGCATTCCAGATTCAGGGTAATCTCATGTGTGGGGTAGTTGCCTCGAGTATCTTAAAAAAAATGAAGATCTTGTAAACTCAGTGAAGCTAATTAAATGCTCGTACACTGAAATGAATTTCTGATTGCTGCTAAGGAGGCATTGAGGTCAGCTACGCTTTTCATTGCCCACACTTTATGGCCGATGCCAGATACTAAATAAATCAAAACCTCAGAATCAGAGGTCTGTGGTTTGGTTCCTCCTATATATTCTCCCACCCAGCTGAACATAATTCCTTATCTGTCTTCATCTCAGCATGAAAAGTTTTCTCTTCTATTGTTTTTCCTCACATAGCACCAGACTACCATGGAGAAGACTATGATATCATAAGAAATGAATGAGCATGTTTCTCACCATAGGTGAAATATACATTACAGACCTAATAAAGTCAGAAATCACGTAATGGGCTTGCTAAAATGAGCTGCTTAGTTAGTGTAAATATAAATGGTTCTTTAGGTCTCTGCTTCAGCTAAGTTCTTAGACACTTTGCCGAGCATGGAGACAGAGAAGAACATGTTTTAAGAGCTTTTCTGAATCGGGATAGTTCTGAATCTGGATCCATGAATATAAAAAGATAAGTAAAATTTCCCTTCCCCTTTCTAACGGGAGATTTTCTTGTTGATCATTTTTACAGTGACCTAGAACTTTAACTTCCTGCAGCTTCCCACCTCACATAATCCTGGAGGCTGAGCCATGGAGAAGAGAGTGCTGCTTTTTTTTTCTCAGACAGGGCACTTAATATAAATGTGGTATCTGCCTTTGACAGGCAGCAGATGGAAACCCTGAAATCTGAAACAATAAATACCATTCAGAGTCTCACCACTGAGCCTTCTTATAGAACCGCCTTTGTTAAATGAAACATTTACAGGAATACCATCTACCCCCCTTCCCACCCACCTTCAAGGCTAGGATCTGAACCACATTTTTAAAGTAAAGGTTAAGTACCTGAGGCATGAACAGTTGACATACAAAAGAAACGAAAGTAATTTTATCATTCATTTGCCAGCTACAAGGTGTGTGGAGGGCTTTTTCTTTCTCTTTGTAATACATGAGAAAACAAACCTGGGAAGTGTATGCAAGGAATATTTCTTTTCTACATTGGAATGCTAACATTTGCACCTTCTGACTTAATACTGTGTATTTCTTCAGAGTCATCAATCTCTTCAGAGTCATCTTGCCATCTGTACCAGCATTGCTCCAGGCTTCCATATGAAAGTCCAATCTGGCAGTATAAATACTGGATAATGAAGAGTAGGTGTTAAAGTTTCTGACTGGTTGGAATATGAGTCTGTGTCTATGAAAGATCTGAATTCATATGTTAAACAAACAAACAGAAACTATGTTAACATGGAAGTTCAACCAGAAAGAGCATGCATGTTTGTCCTCATGCCCTCTCTCACTCTCTGTGTTTTTTTCTCATTTTTTTCTTTATCTTTCTCATTTTCGTAGAGTTCACCCAAGATCCAGGAGAAAAATGTTCTCTAACTATGACATTACACTTTGGAGATTACAAATAGGGGCAACATGTTGACTTGCTGTAATGTAGGGTTCTTTTTTTTCCTCTCTCCTTTTGCTCCAGGAAAGCTATAACTACATAGATTAGCAAAACTTTTGCAAGAATGGATGTAAAACAGATTTATCTCAGTGTCAGCTTTATCTGATCCATTTGGTCTTGCAGAGTTTGGATGGTTTCCTTTGTTACAATAACCAGCTTTCAAACATCTATATCCTTAGGGTGTTAAATGTCAGCCTCCTGTGTATCGTTCAAAGATAAAAGGTTGACAATACTGAAATACTTTTTTTCTTCTTTTTTTTTTTTAACTTCTCCAGCACTGGCAGAGTCTTTACTCTGCACACCACTGCTGACCCCAGAAATGACCTACAGGAACTACTGGCGAAAGGAGTGAAAAGGTATTTCAGCTCAGAGGCATTAGAAACTCTCTTCATTAATAGCCTTTTTGCAGACTTTTCAGATAGATTTCGTGTCATTGTGATGAGGATATATTTATAACCAGGTCCCTTAAGTAAGTGGACAGTGGACAATTAATTAAACTAACTAGGACTTTCTGTATTGTTTTGTGGGGGGTTTTGCGGGTTTTTTTTGGATTTTGTTTGTTTGTTTGTTTTGATTGTGTGGGGTTTTGTTTGTTTTGTTTTGGCTTTTTGGTTGGTTGGTTGGTTTTTTTGTTGCTTTTTTTTTTTTGGAGTGGGGGAAGTCTTCCTGATGGTCTTGTGTCCTCTGTGCTGGGTGTGCAGCCCTTTGCTATCTGTTGGCCAAGCACTTCAACCCTAATTTGAACAAAACTCTAGACATTCTGCTGAGAGAGGTACACTTTTTGTTTCGGTTGGCATCAGAACTGAGGAAAATGTGCCCAGCAGATCAATGGTCAGACAACAGCCCCTTCAAATGCAACCAGCAGACTTGGTGTGCTCTGGGTACAGCTGAAGATACAGAGTTCCCAAAGTGCGCCACTTGCTTTCCCCTCTCTTACTGCCAAGCAGTCGGGACTGTGCTGCTCCCCGTCTCTGGGCAAGGGGGTGACTACTCTGAGCTTCTTCTCTCCACACCTCAGGAAGCTGGGATGTCCTCATTTATCCAAAAACCCACCAGATACAAAGTTCATCACATCGATAATATGTTGCTGAGCCTGATCTTGCTGGAAGAGGCGGGTCGGAACTGAGAATGTTTGAGTTCACATCAGGGTTGTACTGTTGGGCACTAGGAAGGTAGTTAGAGCAAAGTTTGGTGTATTTATATCCTCATGTATTGTACTGTGTCCTGCACGGATATCCACATTATGGATATGACCATAATTCTGATTATACCACAATTAACCTTGTCCATCCCATTGTGCATACTCCAGTCTCCCAAACATGTCACGCCAGTGGAGATCTACAGTAAGGCTGAATTAGGCTTATTGTTATATTTCATTCTTAGATTGTCCTCTTAGCACACTGGCCCCTTTAATTAAAAGATTGCAAACATGCTTTCCTTAATTAACTTCTGACCTTCACAGTTGGTTATGAGACAGCTATACTTCATGTTTTTGAGCAAAGTCTATTTCCCTCTCTCAGGGGCCTTCCCTTTCTCAGTTTTGGAAGTGGCTTATTAACTTTACAGTCATGGGGACATTTCTCAAAAGAAATAAAATTTCTTGGTGAACATGCACAATTTTTCTCTGTACACCAAGGAGTCTAAATTTTCACTTCAGTTCTGTGAGAATATTGATAATTACTTTTATTAACCAACTCACAAATAGCAAATGTGTGAGGTTAAAAGAAGTCTCATTTGAACTTTATGAACTCATAGGTGAAAAAGAAATGACAAGAGTAACCATGACTGTTGGCTAAGGAGCCATCATTTTCTCGGCAAAACAGCATCCATTAAGGAGGTAAGGATATTGCTGTGCTGGTCAAATGCTTCTGAGATTTTGTTCTGACAATTATTTGCATGCATGTATTTGCATGTATATTTAAATCTACTTGTTTCTGTATGGAGTTGACTGTGTCCACACATCAGCTGCTTTGAGGAATTAATGTACTTTACAACCTTTTTCATCATATTAGAAAGGGTATGCCAAAGTAAAGGTCTCATTTCAGGCAACTTGGTCAGATACACATTTTTTTTTTGTCCTCAGAGTGATAGACATAAAACATGAACAACATGATCCTAGTCTCACTTATGCTGTTGTAAATCAGGGCGAGCTTTGCTGAAACCAGTGGAGTTAGCCCACTGTTTAAAGCAAACTAAGGAGAATCAGTACTTGCCAGTACTTCCTTCTGTTTGGCACTTATAGTCTGCTCTGGATGGACCAACGCAACAAAAGGAAAAAAAGTCACTAAAAAATGTCGTGTTGTTGTCTAAATAGTTGCCTCTGAATTTCAGCTGTGGAAAGTTGTGATCCTCTGTAATTGCTTCTGTAGTCAAGATCTTTAGACACTGAGTGTCCCTGGTCACACAGCAGCAGGACAACAAAGAGCCTCCTCCCTGCTGAACATGTGGTTGCCCTGATATTTTGCACTCTTTTAGGCCTGTATGTTCAGCGAGTGCAGCCCGAGAGCCCTGAGTACAAACTCCTGATTACACCAATGTCTACTATTTTAAACATTTCCTCTAAGGCAAAAGGCAAAGGGGCTTTAGTGTGTAATGTTTAAGCCTGTCTCTCCCTTTAAGTCTTGAGATCAGTTATTTACGGGAAGCAGGAGTCTAGGCTATCCTACCCTTTTCTTCTGTAATTGAAGGCAGTGACGGTTGCAATATTAATTGCTGCATCAGCAACTTCAAGATTTAATGTTTTTCCCCATTCTGCAGGCAATGTATCTCTTGCATGATTTCCCTCATAGTCTTCACTTTTACAGCCGCCTGAATGATAAGCAACAATAATGTCTCTGGAAGTGATCCATAAATCATATTCAAATCCACACATCCAAATGATCCTATTTTTAATCTCTAAACTACTGTGGTGTGTGCTTGCTAGTGCAGTTCAATTGGAAGCATTATGCTCACCACCTACGTTTCCTTCAAATTCGTGCTAATGCATCCAAAAAAAAAAAAAAATTCAACCAGATGCTTGAGTAATAACACAGAAAAAGTATGGGCAATGAAGACCTCCCTAAGTGCTCATATGAACTACAAATAACACAATGTTATCAGTATCTATAAAGAGAATAAGAATGATCTTGGGTTTATATCACTGCATTAGAGTGGACAGTACCTGAATTATCTTTGTTCCTTTTCCACAGTCACACTGCATCCAGCTAGGCCTTGAACACTTCCAGGGATGGGGCAACCACAGCTTCTCTGGGCAACCTGTGCCAGTGACTCACTAGACTGTATTTTGTATTGAAGATTAAAAATAGTTCCACGACACTATGTACTTTTCTTCTGGAACATCCATCATTTGTTGTTGTGGTCTTTGTAGAGGTATTCCTGGAACTAATACTTTAGCTTTATTGTGGTCACAGCTAAAATTTCCTTTCTTTCTTTAGCTCCTCTCAGGCAGTCCAGTGGGATGTTCTCAAGATAAAATTAGAAGTGGTGCCAGACTTCACCCAGCATCCTTATTCTGGAACAGCTATGTGTCTTGTGGAGGTTTCCAGGGATCTCTTGCATCCCTTGTCTCTCTGTGTCTAGGGGGCCTCAGCATTAGAAAGACATGGACCTATTAGAGTAGGTTCTGAGGAGGCCACAAAGATGCTCAGAGGGCTGGAGCACCTCTGCTATAGAAAGACAGGCTGAGAGAGTTGGGCTTGTTCAGCCTGGAGAAGGGAAGGCTCTGGGGAGACTTTACAGCACCTTCCAGGACCTAAAAAGGGCTTATAAAACGGAGGGAGAGGGACATTTGTATGAGCAGATAGTGACAGGACAAGGCACAATAGCTTTAAACTGAAAGAGAGCAGGTCGAGAGGAGATGTTAGGAAGAAATTCTTCCCTGTGAGGATGGTGAGACACTGGAACAGGTTGCCCAGAAAAGCTGTGGATAGCCCATCCCTGGAAGTGTTCAAGACCAAGTTGGATGGACCTCTGAGCAACCTGGTCTGGTGAGTGGCATCCCTGACGATGGCAGCAGGGTTGGAACTGGATGACCTTTGAGGTCCCTGCCAACCCAAGCCATTCTATGACTCTATGATCTGCGGGTTCACTTGTGTCTGGCCATTTCCTTGCAGCTGGATACCAAAGGAGAAGGGAGAAAAGAATGTCTTTCACTATTCATACCCATACGTGAGTTAAAGCAGACTGTCCACGCCTTGCCTATGTCACGGGTGTTGCCTGCAGCTCTGGGGGAGAATGGGAAGTGCGTATCTCTGATTCTGATGCTCCCACATACGCCCACCATGAGGCTCCTCTGCTGCTGGGGCACCTCATTATGCAAATATCCCCTGAGGCAGCAGCCTCCTTAGTGCTACTCAGGCTGGAGTGATGCCCAATATACTTAGTCCTGACCAGAATGCTAACAGGCCTGTGACTTCAAAATGTTTGGTGTGCATTGCACATGTTTCTTTTGAGGTGATTTCTGTGGTTACTGGAGACAGTTGGGTTTTTTTTCTCCCAGTGGCTGGAAGGAGCCACGAGAGTATTTTTATGTATAAATGGGATTCTCAGAACATCTGACTTGGGGTGTTTTCAACTAGGTTATAGTTCTGGGTGTCAAGGAAGTGTGTAATATCTGAAAGGATGTTGGAATTGGTCTGTGTGGGAGGTTGAACTTCTAGGCAAGCAGGTAATGACAGTTCTGAGCATCCACTTTCAGTGTGTGCCTGAAGTAAACATGCAGACAAACCCAAGAAATTTAGTAAAATCTCAGTGTAGGAATTTAAACTTTGTAACAACACTAATGGGGAAATGGGAGCTATAATCTTCAAAGAAGTTCTGGCTTCTGCATTGTCAGGCTCAATGTTGACAATATTGCAGCATTTGAAGTTTTTTGTTGTTTATTCTGTTGAAAGCAAATCAATGTGCAAGTTTTTTAAGGTGAGAAGCTCTCTTAGTAATGTAAGTAGCTAATTACCATTAGGGGTTAATAAAAGAGAAATGCTCCCTTATCAGGTAGTGCATGTTTTGCTTGACAATATCTAAATTATTTATTGTGGCTTTTCATATGGTTTGCATCCAACGTTAACTGAGATGGAGATTCTTAGTTGAATTCACATTAGACTTGAACCTTTCTAGCTTTCTTTTTTAACTAAATTCAACCTTTGTGGAATTGCAGTGAATGACTGTCCAGATTTTAATGCAAATAAGGCTTCTTTCAGCCTTATTTTCAACAAGCAAATGTGGAGACAAACCAGATGTGATTTTCTGGATGTCTACACGTCAGAAATAGGTGTCTGAGTGAGAACAAGTTTTGATAGAGTACACTATAGAAGAAATGACAATTGAGTTCAAAATCCAAGATGGAGACTCAAATTCC